GTGTTCTGAATGGAGTGAACGGGCTCCCGAAAACATTTCAATTTTTAATAGAGGCATGTACCAGGGGAGAGGAACCTCAGGCTGGGAGTGTGCCAATTACAGGATGCTACGCTGAGCAGGAGACCTCAGCAGGGGGAGAGGAAAATGATCTAATCTCCTGATTTTGCTTCCCTCGATCAACCCAGGAAAACACTGCACCTCATTGCAGTGACAGGGAAGAGGAGGTGGTTTGCTCTTCCCAGGGCAGCCACGCTGGCTGGCCCCAGGCACTGTCGTGACCAAGAAGAGCAGGAGAGAACTGAGCTCCATCTTGCAAGCCTCAGGCTCAAGCTCACAGACGTGTCAGAGCGGTTACACTTAACTATAAGGATCTCCCATTGCCTTCGTGATGGATCTTATCATTTTTGAAACTGGCCTCTGTTACTGCAGATACGTTTTTAAGTAAACACATGATTTTCTACTGAAATGCCTTTGGCATTGAAACATGGGCTAGCAGGCAAGAGAGCATTAAGCCCAGCTGATGTGTAAATATTTAAAATTAAGGCACTGATCTGCCTTGCAGTACCTCATGTTTCCACAGATACCCAAAAGTATACCCAGTGTTGGATATCTAAGTTACCTAATATTGGATGTCTCTGAACTGTATGAAGTCATTGGCTTGGGCTTTAGCATACATGGCCAAGGAGAGGAGGGCATGACCAGTGTTTGCTCCTGGGTATGCAATAGGATGGTGAGAAAAGTGCCTGATCCTGAGGGAATTTGTGGCAAATGTACCCAGAACTAGATCCAGAGTATGCACCGATTGTCACCGTCTGTGCCAGGGCTCATATCTCAAACACAAAATACCTCATGTTAGTTTTCACTTGTTTGGTTTGATCATTATGTGCTGCTCACATGGGGAGCTCCTGTTTTCTCTGTCAGAAGAATTGTATCCAGGCAGTTCATAATGTCCAAGATGCATTTTTAGAGGGAAGATTTATTGGTCCTTGTTCACATCTTGTCTAAATCTAACATTAATTTGCAGAATATGTTCTCCCAGATAGCATGCACATCTGGAGGCACGGTTATAATTTAGAACTGGAGGTAATCGAAGAGATACCGCGAATGAACTCAGGGAAAACAAACAGGACAAGGCAACAGTCTTAACTGTATAGTTATGCATGTAGGCAAGAATTAAAGGCTTTTTTCAGAAGTGTGTATGTGTTTCCACATGTTATGGCATCACTTGCCTATAGCCTTGGTTTCCCAGTGCGTAGTTATGACATTTGCTTGCTCTAAAATACATCATTGGATTTTGGTAATTTAAAAGCCGGTTTTGGAGTGTAGCTTATTCAACTAGTGTCCTGAATTTTAGGGTCGAGTCTTTATTCTCTTAGGAACAGGTATCCTTCAGATCAGGCTCTTAGGGAGCAACACTCTTTGTGGACAGCCGTTGATATGCATCACATTACAATGCACCGAGTTTGTCAGACAGAAATTACACATGAAGGACCTGTTAGATCTTTGACAAGACAGGTCTTATCTGTTGATCAGACAAAGACTATTATGGTCTGAGTAGAAAAAGGACATAAAGATGAAGAATTTGTATGTTCTTTCCAGCGCTACAGTATCTGCTCTGGCAAGCACCCTTGTTTTCGTAGGGCAGACAATTAATCTTGTTGTTTGCTCCTTTGCTACTTTTGAGTGTCTTTAATTAAGCTGGTGCCTGATGATGTCTTGCCACGATAACGTGTGTTAGGTTATGAGGTAATGGCTGTTCTGAAAAATAGAGCTGTGGCAGCGCTCTGGCACATTCAACGTAAATCACTGCTCACAAGCCTTTGGAAAGCTATCACGTTGCTGCAGAGGCAGGAGAGTGAAGCCTGAATCTGTAAATCACTGGGTATGTATAATAGGGGATGTAGATTTTAGGCGCTTCGGGAACATGGAGAGATCCGCTGTCTTTAAGTGAATCTGAGTGAATTGCAGCTGTAGCTCCTCATTAGAGCTTGGGTATAGCTGATAGGAGGAGGACGGGGTGCAGAGGCAGCTGCTACAGGGAGGAGATGGTAAGCTTCAAACAGGATCTGCCTTCAGTGAATTGGGAACCCAGCTGGGGAAGGTAAAAAGAAAAGGGACCCCAGATTCAACAACACTTGGTGATTGCTCTCCCATTGACTAGACTAAACCCTGTTTTTTTTCTCCTTCATCAGAGATTTCTTATCACTGCCTGGTGTTGAATACATTTCCTCCCAGAATCGTGCCTTCTAGCAGGGCTAAGAATTAATATCTGGAGTGGCACTGTGCAAGTTGGCTGCAAACAACCACATCTCTCATTTTTCTATGCACGTGTGCATATGCACAGTATGCCCTTGGTAATTTTTAACAGCCTCAGGGTTTGTTTTTGCTGCGTTTGCCTTCCTGTGCGATACTGGCAAAAGACTGGAAGAAAATGAGCTGGGATCCCAGTGAAAACTGCATCCAGAGGGTGAGAGCGACTCATGAGCAGGTCAACAGCAAGCACACCCCAAAACTGTTCTTGCTGTTCGGCACGCCAGCACTACCTGCTCTGCTCTCTTCAGCTGTTGTAGGTTTGTAACCTTAGCAAGAGCAGGGGGGATGCACACCCACAAGTTTCTCAGAAATAAAACATACTTAAAATGCAGCTCTTTCTTCCCGATTTCCTCGCTGCGCTAGAAAGTCATTACACATGGATTTAGTTTTCCTTATCTCGTGGATTATCGTCTGTTGTCTTCCTTCCTTCCTTCCTGGATGGATTTATCCAGTGTTCTGATTGCAGCTCCATTTTTTTATCACCTCCTGTCTTAAGGGGCTTACGCTTTCGTAGGCTTAATGTTATCGAGCTGAGTATTTTGCAGCAATTGACAATGAAGATAATTTTTCACAGATTGACAGGTTGGTTACAGCTAATCTTTCTTCAGAGTCCTTAACTTGGCCATCCGCTCTGTTCGTCGCAGACCTTTGTTTCATTTTTTCTTCGTATTCATTTACATTGACCACACATTAATCTGATGTAGGGGAGGAGAAACAGACAACATCTAAGTCTTAAGAAACTTCCACAGGGATTCAGATATCTGGACAAAGACAAGTATGCAACCAGGGTCATGAATATCTTAGAAAATAGCCCTTTGAAACAGCAATGCATCAAATATCTCTTCAGTCTCTTTCTTTGGCTTTGGTTCGGAGTTTGGTTTGAGCATATTAGTAATTTCTGGGCCCATGTAACAGTTGCACAAGGACCAGAAATGTGATAAAAAGAATTTAAATATTAAACACGAGTTGTCCTCATCTTTGTGGGGCACAGGCTGCGAGTCAGCTCACAGCAGGTAAGTTCATTAGTTGCCATTTCTGGTGTAACATCCAGCTGCGGAAGGCTTACAAACGCTGGTATTTAGGTCAGCTTAATTAGGCCTCAAAGTAAAGATTGAAAAGTGGAATAATTGCACCTACTTCGTTGCTGCTGAGCTTCTCCAGTGAAGAGAGGCAGTTCGGAGCAAAGTTGCCGGGCAGTATGAAGTGATTTCGGCAGAGGTGCTGCAAATCCTCAGCAGTGCTCCTGTGCCAGGAGCCCAGCTGATGAAAAGCAACAACTCTGGGGAGAGGTGAGAGACGCTGTGATATCCCTGCATGTCCCTGGAGGTTTCTGTGTGACCCACACTTCTTCATTTTTTCCATCGAAGGCTCATAAAGCCTCATATAGGGTATAAAGAGGTATTAAAGCAACAGCTCTCATTTGCTGCATCAGTGGTGCTGGTGGCTGAAACATTCAACTTTTGTCTGTGGACCCATGCAGAAAATAGAGGGGGAGCTCCTCCTCACCTGGATTTCTCTCCAGAAGAGCTTCTCTATGTCCTCTGACTGTGGATGGAGCAAAGGGAGCATCTGTGGGCACAGGAGACAGATATTTGCTGTCTTCTTACATGCCAGCAAGTTCGGCACACCCTAAAATGATGGCTTTTTATATTTTCTTAGCAGTTTGAAGGCATATCCTATCTTGTACCAGGGCTTGATTCTGAAATTCTAGGTTAGACAAAGCCCAAGGGGATTTAGGTTTACATATTTTCCTAATAGGATTATGCTTCACACTTGGTTGTTTTAGAAATTGTTTGAGGTTTTCTTTTTTTTTATGATTTGCTAAATGCTTGAAAACCTGCGTGTACATTCAGAGCGTCCTGCAATGTGTTGTCTGGGGGCTAGCGATAGAAATCTGGTGTTTGACCTAGTAGTAAACTAAATCACTGACCCTCAGGGTTATTTTGATCCGAAAACATTTTGGTAATCTGATTTCCAGCACGGCTGCAGGAACAGTTGAAGCAGAGCGACTGCAGGGGCTAGCAAATTGCAAGAAGGATTAGAAACTGCTTACGCTGGCATCAGTGAAAACAATTTATTGTGGAAATACAGCCCGGGAATAAAGTAGTGAGCAGCCTTCCAGCCACAGGGCTCGTGGGTGGGTTGTGTCGTACACGCGGTTCCTGATTTGTGGTGGTTTGGGGGAGGCCTGGGTGCAGCTGGGTGCTGGGGCTTCTTCTTGCCCACCAGGACAATCAGAAAGCTGGAAGTGATAAGATTTCCTTCACAACTTTATTTCTGTGAATGTGGGGAGGGGTCTGACTCAACCGTAGCAAACTGGTTTAAAACCCAAATTATTCTGTCAAAGACCCTGTACTTAAGATACTGCAAGCTGTAGCACAGCAAGTGAGGGGCTGCTGGCAGGTGGGTGTTAAACCTTAAAGAAAGGAAAGCCTGAAAGCCCAAACTAAGGAGAAGGACCTGTTGGGAAGGTGGAGGTTGAGTTGCTGTTTTGATACAGGAGTTTGGTTCTGATTGGAATCAAATGGATTTAATAAGATAAGCAGAAAAAAAAAGAAACTTGGTTAATAACCCAAACATACGGCTCAGATACACAACTCTGGTTTGTGAACCTTTCTAAAGAGCAGCTCCAAGTACTTCGTTGTGCACTCTAACCGGTGGCGATGTTTTGTGTTTTTTCCCTGCAGACGGCGGCTGATCTCCCAGCGATCTTCTCTGGAGACTTTGGAGGACATTGAGGAAAATGCCCCGCTAAGGAGGTGATTTTATTTGCTCCCTGCCTGGTTGTTTGTCTGTGAGGCACATACGTGGACAGGCTTGCTGTCCCTGCACGTGCTGAGAAGCAGCTGAATGTACACATTAAGGCATTTTTCATGTTGGTAAAGGTATTATAATGTCACACACCCTGTGAGGTGGTAGGTGATGGGAATTACATGGTTCCTGGCTGCTTTATTAAAGTAAGCCCTTTAAGGTTAGTAATTTTTTAGCATCATTATTGTTTATGGATTTTTAAGGCTTCTCTCAGCACACACATCTTGTTTCACCAGCCAACGTCACTGTCCCTGCGTGCTGATTCGTGGCTGCTGCTTCATTGCTAAATCCTCTCCCATCCACGTTACATCATCAGCTTCCTTGTGGTTTCACTTCTGCGTCCAAGAGGCCACAGCCCCTCTGGGGACTGCAGCAATTAGGCACCCGGCAATCCTCCGGAGTGCTGGAAAACGGAGCAACTGTTGTAACAGCTCAGAAACGGGCCGATCAGTAATCTGACCAGCATGTGGTAGGCTTCCAGGTCAGCTGTTCGGCTAGGCAGCAGCTTAATTTTGAATGTCTCTTTATCCCGGGCCCTGTCACTCAGCTGGTTTATGCTGGTGTTTAGCCTCTGGCCTTGTTTACCCACACGCACCTTGGCTGTCTCTCCCCACCTTGAAGCAAAGGCTTCATAGCAGAGGCTCTACCGGCTGGCCCGCTACCAAGCCTTGATTATTTTTACAAAGCTCACTGCTGAACGCTTACCAGCGTGTTGTGAAGCGTCCTCATAAATGATTCAAACGCGTCTAATTGGCAAAAGATAGAAGCAAAGCGTGGCTGGCGAGGCCGCGTTTCTATTTGCTAATCTGCAGAGCTGTTGGTAGCACCGCTCTCTCGGTGGTATTTTCCTGCAAAGAAGGAAACGAGCCTAATTGCAGCCATAGGGTGAGGGAATTGCGGGGATTTGACCAGCAGGGGAAGGCAACAATAGCACGGTGGTGGGGTTCCCCCCCTTGGGGCTCTGGCCGGGCATGGTGATGGCATTTGGGGACGGCAATGGGGACTGGCAGCCCCTGGTGCTTGGGACCAGTAGGCTGCGGTTTCAGTCCTACAGAACAGCCTCATGAGGTCAGGAAGCTGAACTCTGTCTACATGTAGGAGAGGATGGGGAAAAAATGGGCTCGTGGGGTCCCCTGCAGCAGAGAAAGCTGCTTCTCCCTTCCATCCCATGGAGGATGCAGTGCCTGCAGCCCTGGCTGCACACCGAGCTGGGGAGTTATCGCTGCTGCCTGTGCTCTGTGACTTGGAACAGAACAGCAACAAGATGAAACGGAGAGAGCTTTCACAGTGTGCGTTGTGCTTTCAGTTGATTAAAAAGAGCAAGGCTGGAAGGAGGGAGGGAGCGCTGTTTGTCTCGTCGCTCCTTCCTCTGGCAATTCCTTTCTCTAATTGCAATTTTAAGAAGTGTGTTTGCATGTAAAATAGATTTAAGCGTTGATGCTTTGAGGGGAAATTTCTCTCTGAGGTAATTCATTTTATTTTCTGTTGTTCTCTATGCTGTCAGGAACGTGGAAAGTGATATTTAGAGTTAAAAGCAAATACAAATTATCCTTGTAAATAAGAGATTTTAAGTCTTTCTAAAATTAAAACAAGAAAGAACTTTCCTCAGCAGCTCCCTTATCAGTAGCCAAGGAGGTTACAAAAGTGTGGGTGTTGGTGTGAGCAGAAAAAAATGCAGAAAGATGTACCAGGTTTTGTTTTACTTTTTTTTTTTTTTTTCCCTCCCAAAGCTTGGGCTAAGCTGTCACAACGGATTACAGGAAGTTTTATTTCACTGAGATTTTTTTATGTGTTTTTCTGCATGAAGGGAGGGGTGGTGGTGCCTTTTCTTATTATTATTTTAAATATTTTTTTTTATTCAAGCTGTCACATTTCCAGACTTATTGTCTTCATTGTTCTTGCTGATTCCTAAAACAGGGTGACTCGAATCATTTGTCTAGTCTTTCCTTCCTGCCTTTGTGTAGACTTCTCAGCTGTACAGCAGGGAACTCAGCTCTTTTTTTTTTTTTTCCCCCAACCGATTTGTTTTTCAGATGTCGGACTCTCTCAGGATCACCCAGACCAAAGAACTTTAAGAAGGTCCATTTTATCAAGAACATGCGGCAGCACGACACCAGAAACGGCAGGTACTGTGCTGCTTCTGCAAAGGCAACTCGTGGGGCACGGGGGCATGGGGAAGTTCAGCATCCCCCTGAAACAGTGCAGCAAGCACTGCCTGTTACCAAATGTATAGTCAATACGGGCCATGAAAGCAGTTTGTGAAAGTGCAGGCTCCTTTCTTGAGTGAAATCCAAGTCAAAGGCAGTGCTAGCTGATTTTTAGGACCTGTGTCTCCATAATACAGATACCTGTGGAAAAGGAAGATCAGTGGTGCTGTCAGGAAGCGGAGCATAATCTGGTTACAGCGCTTTGAGGATAGTGCCAGGTGCTAGGAGTGAGAGGCACATGGCTGAACCTGCCTGGAACCCGTTTAGCAATGGCTGAGTGATATTTCAACAGCTATTAGCGAGTGCAAGGGTAAGCACAGGGTTCGCTGGGTTGTCAGGGCTGCCTATTGAAGGAGGCTTACCAGACAAGTGACTCAAGAAAACAGCTGGAGGGAAAGGTATTAAGATTATCCCAAGTCTTACAAGATGAATTATAGAAGTGACAGGTTCTGATCACACCATTGTGTCCTCCCAGCTGCAGAGCGCTCTGTAAATGCACAGGTGGGGATGGTTGTGACAAGCGGGATCCTTCTTTTCAGGGCAGACGTAGGCAGAAAGGGTACGTGGGGACACCAGGAGATGTATGGAAAGGTGTGGCTGTGGCCACACGTGCACCCTGCACTCTGATGTGCAGTACCCAGATTGCAGCCACAGGCACCAGTGGTCCTGCGCAGCAGCAGACAGCCAAGATTTCCCTTGCTGCAGTGGCATAGTGTCTGTCTTCTTCCCATCAACCAAGTAGGTTCTTTATTCCAGTGCCATCCAGCTCAGAAGAGAAAATAATCCCTCCTTGCTTACAAAGACATCTGTGTTGTGTTTTTTTCCTTCCCCAGCCTATTTCCCTTATGCCTTATGATATTATTCTTGTCCTTCCAAACCTGAATAGGTTACCTGAGCAGGTTTCACATAGACAGAGCTTTCCTGCTGAGAGCTGACCCTTGCACATACCTGTCCTCGTACAACTGTAGTGGCCAAGAACCACATCTGGGGAGTGATTTGTGGGTCTAGTCGGTGATTTTAATCAAATGTGGAACAAGATCAATAGAAATTCTGACATAACATCGAACCACGGTTTTTATGAATTGAATTCCGGGAGGTGTCACTTGGCTAGAAGAAAAATTTCCTTGCCTTTATTCTCAGATGTACGACTGAATGCAGTGAAAGGTAGTAATCAACATCAATACTGCAGAGCGTGGCTCTGGGAGATGAGGGTTTTTTAGAAACAGCTTTTGTTGCAGGCAGTCGTGTGCAGAGCTGTTGACTTGACTATTGTCTGACTAGCAGACGATTATTGTCTAAACAACGAATACATGTGTAATCAAACTCTTAAAAAAAAAGCTCTCTAATTTTAGCCTGGTTTGTGCATAAATATATGCGTGCTCTAGGAATTTCTTACAGCAAAAAAAAACTCCACACTTATAAAGTATTATGCAAATTTCACAGAGAATGAGTAATTCCTGAGATATGCATATAAAACAAAGGCATAAACTTGAAATATTACCTGTCAAAAAACGAAAAAACACTTGGTTTGTAAACGATCTACAGAATCACTCATTTTCTCCAGCCGTTGCAAAAATGTATTTGTAGGTTATGTGCAGCATTTTGTCTTAATTTGTGTTACGTCACTCATTATGTCTGATAACAACAGAATATTTTTGTAGCTCAGAAAACACAGCCGAAGCTTTTGTTATTCAGCTGGCTCCTTATCTTTATCAGCAGACACAGTTTTCCAGAATATTTCCATAATCATAATAAGGATCCCTTTATCTGCAGGACAGATACAGTAAGAACAAGATACACAGCTCGTTAAATGCTTTCCATCCTATGGACAAAGAGCCACAGCGATGTTAGCTAAAAATAAAATGTAAAGGCAATACTTTCTGTCTCCCTGAAGCTGGCTGAGTCCAGCAGTAAGTAATCTGAGCACGTACCCTGCTTTTCCAGGGGGGCTGGATGCTGTTGCAGTCACTGCAGTTGGCATTCGGGCTGAAAGGGGCCCCTGGAAATTCAGTTCAATGTGCTTCATGTACTCAGCCCCAAATCAGCAGAGGTGCTCAGTCCCTTTGGACCTTTGATACTGGTGTCCTCCACAGCTCCTTGTGACACAGAGGAGCCCCAGGTATTGCAACGGATGGGAAATCCTCCTGGCTCTCCTTCCCTTTGCCCAGGACCTCGTCCCAAGCAGCTCACGTGTGGTCATGCAGGAAGGCTGAGCTGGGCTCCCTGAGCTGTCTGAAACGTGCAACCCTTCGGTCGCTGCACGACAGCCTTTCATGTGGCTTGACTTGAGGAACTCAGCTTTGAAAGCATCCACACTAGTGTGTTTTTTAGCAGAGGATTTAAGAGCTAGGCTTCAAAATAGCTAGTGCTTTCAGTAATTGTTTCACTGGCACCAGACCAAGTTGTTCCACTGGCACGTGGCCAGGTTTCACAGCAAAGAAACATGCGGTGTGGGTGACAGCTCAGGGCTCCTTTTCCTTTTGTGATCTGCCCCTTTTGGGGCTCTTAACCTCTGACAAGTCACTGTCCTGTAGTGCTGAGAGCTCTTCCCCTCCCAGCCCTGGAGGTGGCACGTGTTGAGCAGCGATACTCCGGGTAGAGCCTTCGGCAGTCCTGCACAAAGGCAGGACAGGCTGTGGTTAAAATTAACAGCTCAGGTATTTGAGCACTGAGGAAAAACCACCTGTACCCAGACCGCAGCGTATCAGCGATGCCTTGTAAGGCTCCCTGTTGATAGGTTCGTGCGCTGGTTAAACCAGTTTCTTCAGATTTGTAGGATGTGGCTTATTAAAGGAAGGGGAAAATTAGGTTTCCTAGACTGCACTATCAAAGCAATCTTGTGAAGTAAGACAAAATAAATTTGCCCATTAAAAGACAAAGACAAGGCAACCCGTCCTACAAATTAGCAAATGTAGCCACCGGTGTGTGGTTTCACCCTGTGAGACCTAGGGACTTTACTCAGCGGGCTTAGTGGTGGTCCCTTCCACAAGCTGTGAAGCAGAAGATGTCCCATCTAGCAGAAACAGGCCACCAAAATAGCAACGTGAGCCAGCTGAGCAAACAACCCAGGGTGAGAACGCGACAAGAACATTTCTGGGGTCATCCTATATAGCAGTAAAACAAGACCCCTCTCCCAGTCCGTGCGATTTCTCGTTAGCGTAGGATTCTGTGCCAAAACCGAGCAGGACCCATAAGCTACGAGAGGTCTTGCTGCCCTTTTAACGGTGGTGACGCACCCGTGCACAGCAAGAGGCTGGCTGTTTGTGTGTCCTCACTACTCTCAAACAGTTTTAAATAGGTCCAGCATAAACCTGGGAGGCTGTAGGGTGACGTCCAGATCTGTAGTTCGTGTTCATCCTTGCCTGCAGGGGAGCAAAGTCTTGCTACTCAGACGTTTTCAGTGACATATGAGGGCATTACTAACAGCTGAGAGCCTTGTGCTCTGTAAATTTTTGTAGTTTTATAGTACATACCTCATTAAAGAAACTGGGAGGTGAGCTTTTACAATCCCAGACAGCTGCACGTTGTCAGAGCTCTCTTGCAAAAGAATGGTTTCCCAAAGCTGTAGCAATTAGTACAACTTTTTGGTAAAATGAGAGAGTTAGAGAGTGGAAACCTTTTCACGAAGTAATTTTAAACGTGTCTACATGGCACAATGGCAGTCAGGGCACGTAAACCCACTCTGAGTCAAGCTGCTTCTGATATCCAAGATAGCTCAATCACAGTTGCACAGCATCGTAGACACTGATGAAGAGCTGAAATCCAGAAAAATGCTTTTCTCTCATAAACAATAACTCTATTTTCCTGAAGAGCAGCCAGCTTCCCCCACACTTTCTTCTCCAAAGCATGCTTTATGACACATATCTGGATTTTCTGGTCCAGCAAACCACTGTCAGCCCTCAGATTTATTTTGTTTCCACACATATCGTCAAACCTCTGAATAAAATGCTGTTTTATCCCTCTGTGATCGGCTTCTGACCACTGCCATGCCTGGTTCTCTTCCAGGCCAGCTCCTAAGTCTGTTTTGCACCAGCCTCCCTCCAGTAGCTCTGCAAGCAGAGGCTTTGTGGCAGCCTGGCTCTGGAGGCCCTTGCTAGGAGAGGCCGTGCACTTATTTCCCTCTCTGGAAGATCTTTATGTAGTCGAGGTCCCTTTTCATGGAAACAGGGACAGTGTTTGATTCCCAAGGGAAAGAATTCTGAAAAAAAAATAGAGGCTGGGCTGATGCTTTCTGTTTTCTTTCTGATCTGATTCCTTCTGATACACACAGCAAGTTTCTGGTGATTTCCCATTGCTGTTTCCACTGGAAGACGTGGAAAGCACCAGTTTGTTTTCCTTCAAGAGGGCTTATTTTTTAGGGAGTTGTAGGGCATCAGTGGAAGAGCTGGATTTCCAGAAGCAGCCAGAGGGAGTGGGGGAATATGCCTGGTGGGTGCTGTGGTTCTCTGAATTCCGGGAGGCCTTCTGATGTCAGCCTTGAAACGTGTGCCAAGTTTCATACATCAGCAAACGAGGCTTTCAGTGAACAAGCAAGCTGTTGTGAGTAGCAACTCTTCAGCCATAAACAGTGGCAAGCACAAAATTAATCATACGCCAGTTTTTGTTTTTTTCTCCTTGTGGCCTGCCTTTCTCAAATGTGACAAAATTTTTCTCCCTGCTTTATAACTTACGGCAGCACCCTGGGGACATCGTATCAGATATATTTGCCATAGGTAAGGGCTGTTACAGAACTCCGTATCTGCTGCAGGAGAGTTTCCTAATGTTGTACGTGGGTTTATTATTAGAAACCCTTTGCTATTAATGGATAAATCCTGCTTTGCTTTGAAATACACTTTTAAGAAAAAAAATAAAATCGCTATAATAGAATGATCCAGGAAAAGGAAAATTGATCATTCTGCATTTTTCCAAGGAGATAATACTTGCATGCAGCAGCTCCCTGGGGAACCTAAGCCTTTTCCAAGAAATGTGACTAAGCCAAGCTGCTCCCATAAGTAAACAATACCTTAAAAGAATGTAAAAGGTTTAAGATTTAGAGATGTATATGGTGATTTTCAGACAATAAAGAACAAAATAGATTGCTAGGGTTTGTCATCCAACGTTGACCAGTATAGGACAAAAATTTGGGTGAAATCCCCTCACCACAGAGAGCCGTGGCAGACAACATCGGGAAAATCAGTGCTGAAGAGCAGAGTGAGGAAGTGAAATAGCCCTGACAACCAGCCTAGCAATAGGTCCTGGCACTCTGGACCACAGGTGGAGACTTTCAGGAAGGTGAAACACAGGTAAATTGTTACACTAACCAGGTTAGAAGTGTATGAATTACCGTCACCAGATCTTAGAGGGATTTGAGGGGACGTAGTCTGTCAGCCAGTTTTAGGGGAAAGAAGGGTCTTTTTCAGTGTATGTTGTACAACTGCTGGGGTCCTGAAGCTAATGAGGAAAGCTGGTATATTTATAAATAATCACGTATTTATTGCTATTGCATATCTTAACATTTTGATCAAGTTTCTCTCGGCTTCTTGCCCTAAAACTTGAATTATGTCCTAAAACTTGAATTATGCTGCTGTTGGAAGTCCGTGTAGCTTTATGGAAAGTGGGCCTCGACCTCAGGGTTGTTCTGATGTAACTTGATGATATGTCCGAGGCTGATGGCTCAAGGTTATAGTGCAGGTGTAAAACAGATAGGTTGCTTTAAGGTATTTAGTTTAATGCCACCCATATTGCAGATGATGCAGAGATTTGGAGCCTGGTTGAAAGCACGAGGTGTTTGCTGTTAGGGCCGCCTGCATTCTGAGATCAGCTCAGTGCAGGCAAACAAATCACACTTTCATGTAGCCAAATGCTGAGCTGAGTAATGAACGAAGGCAAGCCATCTTCACAGGAGGAGGGATCCAGTCCTGACAGCTAGTAACGGAGACAGACGTGCTGGAGGAGAAGGGGTGAGGATGGTATTTTTGTGCTGATGAATTCCTCGACAATGACACCTGTTGCTTTGTTGCTTATTGTGGCGGGATTTTTAAATTTTAGTCTTTGATTTCTTTTATTTTCTTTTATATTTTAGAATAGTCCTTATCAGCAGCAGAAGATCCTTCTGTAGCATATTTTCAGTGCTGCCATATCGAGACTGTACCCAAGTCGGGTATGTATACTTATACACATCCTATGTAGTCTTTCTGGGCCTGCATGTAGAGCTGGGTACGGACAAGAGCATGACAGAGGCTAACGCTTTGAAACATCTGCTCCGAGAAGGGAAGAGAGGAGTGCATTTAGAAACGTTTGCATCGTGGGTCGTTACCAGGTTAAAACTACAATCCTCGCTTCCCAGTTTATTTATCTGTGCTGTGGTATCTTCGGTTACTAAACTGGAGAAAACTGGCCTCCTGAATTCTACATTCGTGAAAAATGCCTACAGCCTGTATTGTTTCTCCTGCCTTCACCCATCTTTGATAAAACATGCATTTTAGACAGCGCTTTTATTTTATAAGCAGTGCTAGCTTTCTGGTTCTCCCACATGCCTATGGTGTTTGTATCTAGACTTGCATTACTACAGAGAAATAATTGAATCTAACCATAATGGCTTTTCATTGTACTTGTAGGCAGTGGTCAGATCATTCAGTTAGTGAAAAGAGAGTTGTGGTAATGCTGACAGATTGTTTTGGCACTGATGCCATCCAGATTCTTAGCAGCTCTGAGCAACTTCCCTGGAGCTGACTGACAGCCCTGAAAGTGCTGAGCCACTGGACCTCTGACGGATATCTGGATTTGAAGCAGTTTCTCCAAAGACTGAGAAGGCTTTTTCCTCTTGCAGTGAAACTGCAGAAGTGGAGGAAACTGGGTTTAGCTAGGAAATGTCATCTCGCAGTCTCTGGGGCACGACCTGCCAGGGGCCGTGCTGGCGGCAGCTCCGTGCCTCTGGGGCAGAGGTTTGAAGCGTGGCCTCCTGCCAGCGAGCTGAGAGCTGCCTGTGGCCGGCGTTGGCTCGGTGCCTGCAGGGCACAAATCTGGGGGAAATATTCAGATGATACGGGGAGGTGGTTTTGAAAAACCCACAAATAGAAATGAAATTCATCCAGTGCACAAAGGGTGAACGTGGCTCAAATTTTTTCTGCCATCTATTTAATTCTGGAGAGTTGTTCGCCACAAGCTGCTCGTGCATCAGTAATTCAAAACAAAGGGAGATTATTTTTAATGCAGACAGGAAAGGAGGTACCTGTGTAGGAAAGCTGACTTGCTCTCCTGTGTCTTACAGTAAAATTTTTCCCATAATTAAGCAGGGATGACACATCAGGCAAATCCTTGACAGACTGGCAGCTCTGTTCATTCTTCTTCGGTGCACTGTCATTCATTTATGGTCATTGCCCTGTGGAAATTGCCTCTTTATTGAAAACTGAATATATTTTGAAATGCTGATGATTGGTTATATCTTCTAAATTACAGCAGTAATGAACCCAGCTCCACGTCTAAATATTATTTCAATATATAATGTCTCGTACCATGCTTGCAAGAAGGGATTGGGGTGAGTAGATAGAAAATGCCTGCACACAGCAATCCAGCCCTGCTTTCTAGGTTAAAAAGCCAAGATTAAAAAAAAAACAAAAAAAAAGCCCTCTGTCTTTCTTCCAAAGCATCAGAGGAAGAGAGAAACAATTAAATGGCACCTCCTTCCAGGAACAGCTGGTGCGAAGAACAGACGAGGCAGTATGTCAGGAACTGTAGCCGCTCTGTTCGGGCTGCACAGCGGCTGCTGACTGCTTTGCACATTTTGGATGCGTGGTAGGAGGGGGAAGAGACATCGGTACCTTTTTGAAGCTTTGCAAGGACAGCACCCTTCAGCTTTGCTTTCTGGGTGTCTCTGGATCACTGCTGCAGCTGTTCCGACTGGTTTATGGTCTGCAAACGTCACTGAATGGGTGAGGAGAAGAAAGAAATAAATCCAGGGAACTTCAGGCCTGTCCTCAAATGAAACAGAGTGGATGGAGTAAGCCCTGGCAGGAGTGGGAGGGCGGTGTGGACATGGAGGGGACACCACTTGCTGTGACAAGGAGCACAGGGCAGAGCTGCTGCTGCTTCTCCACCTCCGCTCTGACTTGCAGGCTCCGCGGCCAGCAAGGAAATCTCTAGGCACAGCTGTGCCCTGGGGAGGCTGCCAGCCCTGGCTGTGTGGCAGGCAGCAGAGAAGAGTCCTCCTGTACCGATGCTGGCAGCTGAGCTGCTCCAACAGATCTGTTAGAAAAACCTGCCCGAGAGGCAGCTCCTGCCGACACAGCTGAGTGTGAAGGGAAGCATGCTCCAGAGCAGTGCAGGGGTTGCTGGTGAGGGAAATTATTTGCTCTACTTCTCTCTGTTTTGTTGGAGAGAAGCAAAAAGTATAGAGAGTGATGTGTTGGGGAGAAAAATAAGTCATGAACAGTCGTTATCCCTGGAATTGTGTGTCCTCAGAATTTTGTCCATACCTTTTATGTGGTGGAAAACTAATGCTCTAGCTTACAGTGCTTTTCTGCAAGAGGAAGGGGAGAATTACCGCCGAGATTCATTCCCAAAGGTTTCGAGATGCATTCCTGCTGCTGAAACCACTGAGAGGCAGGTACTTGTGTGGATCTGGGCCGTAATTTCTCCTCTTCAGGTCTGGTTACGGTGAGGCTGCCCACATCTTTGCAGGTGGTGTGGTGGCAGGCCCAGCTTCGCCAGTCTCCATGGCCAAGAGCAGGGCAATGGATGGGAGCAGAGTTTGCTTTTCTCCCCCCATCTAGACCACCAGAGCAGCTGCACGAGCAGGCATAGCCAGGTGAAATGAGCGTAAGGGAGGTTGTACAGCATGTCAGGAGCTGAAAGAAGCAGGAGTCTTGCCAGCTGCCTTCCCTTGGCCTCTGAAGTCCTAAGTTAGCAGAGCCTGTGCACTGCTTAGTGGTGGCTAAGGGCAGTGATGAGGGAGTTGCTCCATACTGTGAACAATGTGATAGTTTTATTGCCTTTCTTATTAAATTAACACACACGCAAACTCTCATTATCGTTACAGGCCAGTCTGCAGAGGCATGTATTATCAGAAGCACTGCTAATACTGGCTGAATGCTTGCCTTTGATGATGCTTTTATGCCATTTGAAATCATTGTGTGGTGCACAGGTTAGTGGTAAGGCAACTCAGGGGCTGCTAGTAGAGCTGCAGAATCACTTTGGCAGCTGATACTTTTTTCCAATGTGCTGGAGATCTTCGCAGCTAAAAGGTATTCACAGGCTGGGTTTTGCTGCTGAGCAAAATCTTGCTCACCTGTGAAACGTGCCCACACGTGGAAGTTACCAAACGGGGATTTTGCAGTAATGTTGACAAACAAAACTCCAATTCTCCATTGCTTATGTGCTCCTGGGGCTTCTTTAGGCACCACTTCTCCTTTGACTTTGACAGTATAGTTCTGGCAATCCTCTTGGGCGATGTTGGAGGTGCTCCACGTGGCCTGCAGGACTCAGTGGTAGTCCGAGAGCAATCCAGGTCTCATTCATGTTCTAAAAGCCTGAGCATTTCCAAAAAAAAAGGAAATGATAATGTATGTCTGTCATTGTTAATGGTGTTATAAAGGAGGAAAAAGGTACTGTATTGTGCTTCCTCCAGGAGAAAAAGGCAGTGAAGTTGGTTGTTTTTATAATTCTGTTGCTTTGTTATATTTTTTTTTCTTTGGCACATGTCCTTATGGCTCATAATTTAAAAACATGTTTTTGAAAAGGGGCTTTTTAGGCTAGGATTTTGTTAATAACAAAAACTAAGCTTTATTATTATTATTATTATTTTAATTCACAGATTATAATCATCCCTATCATAGCATTTTATTCTGTAATGTTGCTAGAGCCTTTTAAGAGCTTCCAAGTTTCTGTAGAGCTCTGCCCAGAAGTTGAATGTAAAGGAGCCGGGGAAGGAGGAGAGCTGGAGGTGTCAGAGGGATTTGGCACTGCAATGTGGCTGGTTTGACATTCAGCTATCAGCCGTGGGGTCAGAGTGGCTGACTGTCACTGAGGCTGGAGGCAATGAGCTGGAGTACAAAAATACCAGAGCATCAGATAGTGCGTGTCACAAAAACAGCCAATTCGCCTCGTGTTGTATTCTTCATGGCACTGAATTCATTAAGGGGTTAGAAACTTATCCTGCAGAAAGGATAACTGCTGAATATTGCACTTTGGTAGGAGAATTATAAGAATTATTAAGCCAGATATAAGAATTTATCTGGCTAAACCTGCCTCCAGTTAAGGAAAATAATACGGTATCAGTAATCAAATGGACTGGAACACGGAAAATCGATCGTTCTTCTGAAGTAAAGCGTTAAGTCAGTAGATAAAAAGAATTTGTGTCCTTCTCAGCACTGCTGCAAACCAGTTTCATCCAGTTTCTAAAGATAAATCATCACCGAATTTAACTTTGCCCATTGAAGTCCTGACAAGAACACTAAGGAGTTCAATGATACGACGAGCAAGCAGTTTTCAATACCATCATCCCAAATAACGTGCAGCCACAGCGATCAATGAGCCCAGAGGCCAGGCATTCCCAAAGGGTTTCATTATCCAAATCCTGAAATCTTTGTTCGTCCTCAGTGTTTAAACTGGGGAAGAAAGCCGTATGCAAAATGAGGCAAAAAGAAACATCTAGATGAGCTTGTCTCACACACTGCACCTGAAACACTGCACCTCACACACTTATGGAAGGACACCGAAATCCGTGTGATTTTTTTTTTCCTACACAGCATGGCATTTTTAAACTAATCATCTCACAGGTGAATTTTATAGATCCACCATTAGCTCATTTTTATGAGGTTTCCTGTTCCCTTAGATTGAAATGAAGTGATAAATCCCAAAAGCTAACAGGCTTCAGTTCTGAACTTTTATTCCGTGTCGGGCAAAACATCAAGACAAGAGCTGACACGCTGACACCTGAATATGTCTGGAGAGATTAAAAGGATGCTGGCCCATTAGAGCAATCTTCACCTCCTTTCCCGGTAAATTGCAGCTTGAGATGTTGTTCTAGCAACACTAATGGCAATTAGGATCTGAAAACTCGCAGTCAATTAAAGCCAGCAGTCTCAGTCAGTAGGAGCTCTGCTGTAGAAGTGGCGGGCAGCACATCTTTTCCAAAGTTTTCGTTGTCCTCATCCCTATAAACGCAGACAATAAGTAGAAATTATTTACAGTGAGGGATAAGAGCAGGATTTTTTTTTTTTGACATCCCATGAACTGCCTTTGTTTTTGGAATAAATCCGGGCAGTCAGGAATCACTAAGCATAAAGCACAAACACAAAAAGGTTGCATCTCTAAGTAACGCATATCAGGTTCCTTTCGCAAAAAGTAGAAGGCTTTTTCATGCATCTAGAAATGTGTTTAATATTTAATGGACTCCTAAATTATTCACGAGTTAAAGTGTTCAACTGTTGCTGTCACTTAAAGAGCAAGCGCCCAGCAGGACTCTTGCATGGGGCTTTATAGATCACGTCAAAGCACAGGGTCTGGCTCATTAAAGAGATGTTCTATTCATGAAAGAGCAGGTAATGCAGTTTATATTCACTTATATATATAATACAGTTTATATTCAGTTTATGTTCTGTTAATCTTTGCCAGACACAGGCTGAGAATTCCTGTTTTGATTCTCCTTTACCTGTTCGGTAAAACTTTCCACCATCCCCCAACAACTTTGGATTCACAAGGCACCCAGTACCTTTCAGGAAAATGAGGTGGTGAAACTAACTTTCCTTTTCTCCCTCAGTCTTGAGTGTAGTTTCCAACACTACCCAGGAGCATGCTTTCTGGAAACGGTATGCACAAACAGAGCATGGGCATTTATGTAAATCAGGGTAACTCCCCAAACATTACCAAAAACTGGGGTCAAGTTTTTTGCCTCCTGTGGAAATGGCATCCTGATCTTGCGATTTCCTTCAGCTTTCCCTGCTGGAATAAAGTAAAGCTAGCAAAATTATGTTCCTGTGACTTAATTTAGCTTTTCAGCATCTGCTCGAATCGCTGGAAAATTTTGCTAAAAAGCACTTTAGGAAAACAAAACCCAGGAAAATCAAAAACGAGGAAGAGGAGGAAGGAAGTTCTCTTCGCTTAAAAGCCTATTTGGCAGGGGCCATCCTTCCGACTCTGAATTTTGTAAACAGCTTTTACTACTGCATATCGGTTTGTGCAGTTCCTCGGTGCCACTGGTAATGTAAATAACTTAAACACTTGATTTTCTTTCAAGTTCCTGTCCCACACACGTGTGTAGGGCCTGTTGACCATGGTGCCACGCAAGGGCTCAGATCCTGAGAGCAAATGTGAGATGTTTCCTAGCTGGCTTGGGGATTTGGGGGCTTTGGTGAGGAAGAAGCTGTGCTGGGGCTCCTCCAGAAGCAGGGTCGCAGCCCTGGGGCTTGTCCCAGGTGGGGAAGCTGCCCCAGCACCCCTGGGACAGTGCTTTGTAGCCTGCTGTTACCAGCAGTTCCCCACAAGAGAAACCATAACCTGCCCCAGTTTACAATCCAGAAAGGATTTGTTGTTATTTTATTTAGCTGGCTCGGTCACAGGTATCCAGCATGAGCTTTGCTGAGGCATTTGTAAAGTTTGCTGTAGTAGGAGAGGGAAGAAAAATCACTTAAAAAAAGAAAAAAAAGAAAGAAAAAAAAGAAAAATCATTCTCCCTGCAAAAAAATTGACTAGCTTGCTGTTGGGCTTCGTGACAGGGAACTCAAAAAGGATGAGCTGCACTCACCTAGGAATCTCCTGTCAAGGGTTTAACAATGTCTTCTGTCAGCGGGGAGAAGAGGTGTATAAGCTGGGATGATCCTTTTCATTTGAACATTGATAAAAAAGTGAGGGTTGGTTTGTACTGATTTTCCTCAAGAGAGTGAGTTAAATTCTCAGTTTTATGGGCTTTTCCACAAACAGTGATGTTTTATTACTGTTTTACAACACAAGCAATATATGCTACCTGCAAATTTAAGGACAGATGTAGAGAGGACTTCTACGTGGCCCTTACAAAACACTTAGAATGAGGGAGAATAACTGCAGTGTTGCTTACAGGGTCCTGAAGGCAGAGGTTTCTTTTAAAAACAGAAGAAAGATGGGAAAAATAGGAGGATTAGTCTTGATTGATCTCCGGCTAATGGGCAGGAATCATTCCTGTGCATGCTTACACTTGGAGCTGCCCCTGATCTCTGCTCCCAAAGTGATTTCTCCTACGTCCCCAGAGCCACTCTGGTTTTGAAAAGCTGCTGAGCTGACTCTGTAAACGATGCCAGATTTTCACTGAATGAATTAACAAAGCTATCCAGCCTTCTCTGCTAATTGCACGGAGGAGTGTCTCCGTGACTTGTTTTCAAAGCTGTAAGGGCATTATTTCTTCCCCTGTCTTTGAGGAAGTGAACTAAATTATCCTGATATCGCCAAAGATAATGCAGATTTTTGTTTTGATCTGGGGGCTTCCTCAAGTCACGTGTTCATTTCTTAGATAAGACCTGCTGAAATGGTTACTGCTTAGCATGTATCTCTAGAAGAAATGGTTCCTTCAAGCATGTTGTGTGCAAAAACAGGGAGGCTAATCTGCTGCCTCTGACAGAAGGTTATTCTTACCTAATTATTTGTGCAGCTTCTCAGGAATATGGTATCAGGAAAGAGAATGATGCTATGACACTGTGCAAAGCGAACCCCAGTCAAGAAATCAAGAGGGATTTTTCTAGGAGCGAGGTACACGATTTATTGGGAACTCACTGATTGCCAGTTTTCGGAGAAATAAAATGAGTGGCAAGGTTTAAAGTGAAGACAGGGAAACAGGGCTTGCAAAGAGAAAGCAGGAGCTAGCCCAGCAGTCAGGTGAAGAGCCTGCAGGGCTTCTCCAAGCCTCCTGTCAGCATCTCTCGCACAGGTTTTTAAGCATGTACTTGGACCTTAGCAGAAATCATCCAGGAAAATACCACAACATAAATACTCTGGAGTTGCATACAGTAGCCATTTGCGGAACACAAATTTGCTCATGGTCTTTTTTATCTTCACTCACATCCATGATGCTAAAGCATGGGATACAGACTGAGGATCAGTCCTCCTAAAGCCCAGGTTTCCATCCTGAAGTGAGAGGGAGAGGTGGATTTCTCCTGAAGGCCTCCAGGAGCAAATTCATTGAGCTTTAGACACCCTCCTGCTCTTGGGGGTGCAGAAATTCCTCCCAGAGGTTTCCGTGGGCAATTGCTTTTCTGCATGACAGCGTGGAGGCACTTGGACACGTGTTTTAGGAGCATCAGTATATTAGATATGGTGGTTTATTGGATCTCTTGTCTGTGCTTTGCACTGGTAGATTTAGGATTAATGCTGCTTCCATTGCGTGGCGGAAAGTGAATAGGATGTGCTTCTGAAGAGCTGTCTCTGCTCTGGTTTCTGTTCCCCAGGGATATGAAGTTGGATGGTGGGCGCCAGTGCCATTCTGCTGGAGTGTGTCTGAAGGAGATCATCGGTCTTGAAGGAGTGGAGCTCGGAGCAGACGGCAAGGTGGGGATACTTCGCTTCCTTCTCCGTTAGGGAAAAACATGGCATAACCCGGAACAAGCACAAATAATTAAATAAATTACAATATTCAGCATAACACAGCAGTTAAATCACAGAATGTATGAGCTGTAAATAAGATGAGCAGAAATTCAAGGGGACCATCCTAGCTGTCAATGCAAAGCACTCAGTTTCCTTGAAGAAACCTGCCTCGGGCAACGTCTGAGTCTGTGGAGCATTACTAAATTGGTGTTCCCCTGGCTCTAGCAGGAGGTATCAGCACAGAGCATATTGTCAGAGGCAAAAATAATTTCTGGTGATAGCTGCAAGCTGTAATTCTGCTGGCTTTCAAATTTATTTAATACAATAAATCTCACTTAACATTGCATTTGTCCGAAAGAGCAAGAGGACACTAGTATGAACCTGATGAGCATGTCAAACCCCAAGAGTGCATTCATTCGAAATGGAATAAGCAATTATGATTTCTGTGGGGAAAGTGATCCATTTTAAACAAATCTGTAGAGAAGAGATTATTTTAATCACATACGAAAACATTTATTTTTTTCCTGAAAACCTGATTTATGTTTTGTCGTTGTATTTATCCAGTCTGCTGTTGTTTCTGGATTTAAAGGCTTAAGGGCCCTAGGTCAACGCTGCTGCACGCGGTGTGCTCACCTAACCAAGTGACAGTCCAGACCCCAGAGAGTAAATTTTTGAGGACAATCTGTCTGCTTATAAATAAATTAAAGCTCGCGTGTTTTATTTGATACTGTTTCTGACCAGCTTATAAACCAGTCTGGAGTCTGAGACTCATTTTCTTCTTCATAATACTGTTATTTTTGGAAAATAAACCTAGGAGAAGCAAGACATAGTCTATTTCTGGCCAAGCATGCAAGCAGAGAATTGGTTCACTCTGAAAATAATTTTGTCACATGTTATTCATTCACACTGAGTCCATGCTGGCAGGTAGTAAATGATCTCCCATAACCATTACCATTAACTTATGACACCAACAAGACTGTGCCAGACCAAATCCTAAAGGACAGAAATACCACAGAAAGTGCTTACGTTAAGCAGTGTTCAGGTGATTTGCCTGTGGCTGATCTGTGCTGAGGGACCCATCCAGAAGAACGCCGTTTCAGTAAAGAAACAGCTGAAATCTGCTGCAGGGAAGGCCCAGTGAAAAACCCGACGTATTTTTAAATCTGACCCTTGAGTAGGATTTTGTAAATCCCGTGTATTAGAGCTCGCGTGTGTGTTTGTAGTTTTGTTTTGCTGAAGTATTAATGCATTGGCAAAAGCTTTTTTTGTGTGGATAAAGTGACTACACTGAAGCAAATGTAGGTGACTAGTGTTTATTCATCTGTGCCTAACTATCAAATCCAGAAAATCCCCTGCTAATTTGGTTTCCTCTGCCTCAAACTGGGATGCCCCAAAGGGATCCTGCTGCGGCTGAGCTGGGCTGATAGTAACTCTCTGTCCATTCTGACTTTCTTTTAGACGGTTTCATACACACAGTTCCTATTTCCAACCAATGCTCTGGGAACTCGGAGGAACACAATAGACTCCACCTCATCCTTCTCCCAATTTCGCAATGCAAGCCATCGTAGCCTTTCTCTGGCAAGAGCTAACAGCACCCAGGGGAGCATTGATGCAGGTAACTTACCAAGAAGCTTGTTTTAATAGCCTTGCATACCCTGGCAGTAGGCAGCTATTATCACAGAACCACAGAGTTGTAGGGTTGGAAGGGACCTCAAGAGACCATCGGGTCCAACCCCCCTGCCAAAGCAGGTTCCCTAGAGCAGGCTGCACAGGTAGGCATCCAGTTACGAAGGCTTTTTGGTGGAGGCACGCCATGTTTTAACCCCTTTGATGCTTAAATTAAGCAAAATGTAGTCTCTGGGGTAGGTAACACTGAGCTTGGAGTGCCCTTTTCCACGCTTGTTGCCTGTTTGCTCAGCAAAGCTGGCTTACAGATCATGGAAAGTTGAGTAAACACAATCGCCGGTCCCTTGTCATATTGCCAGCCCCTGATCCCGCTCAGCATGCCTCCTTGTGTAACTGGCATTGTTTGTGCCTCCCACAGAAGGCTCATCATGACTGCTGTTTGCTGTGGAAAGTACACAATGGCAACACGATAGTCATAAGCTGAAGGTGTAAATCGTACTTGTGACCTTTAGGAGGCTGGACGGGGCTGTGTTTACAAAACCGGGCACAAAACATACGCCAAAGCACTATATGCTTAGGATACTTTGGCATATTAAATGAAACAAATCAAAACATCTGCATAAACATGTGAGAGCTCATTTCTGGGAATAAAAGTCAAGAAAATTTCCCCACTCACTCTCCTTTCACCCTGAGCATGGCAGGGTACGTGGGATCTCATTTGTTTGGCAGACTTTTGGACTGTGGCTTAATTTTGGGGTTTTATATAATTGTGCACTTCTCTAAGCCCTAAGTTCATACTTCCCAGGTAATTCATAAGCTTTAGGTCCTCTGTATCTTTGCAAGTTCTACTATTATTGAAGTACCTACAGCGACGTACACAAATTTTTTCGACTCTTTCAATCAGCCAGCACGAAGATCATTCTGTGCATTACCACTGAACTTGTTTGCCAGTTAACGTTTACAGATTTCTTGATGTAATTAAGAAATGTTATTTTTTTGCCATTGTTTTACAGGCAGTGACCTGGGAGACTACGTGGAATATGACCCCAATCTTTTAGATGATCCCCAGTGGCCATGTGGCAAACACAAGCGGGTTTTAATATTTCCTTCGTATATGGTAAGTGATACTCAAAACGAGGTGGTGCAGCACAGATAGATGTTCGTAACAATATTTAGAAAGTTGAGGTTGCATTTGGCTGCATTTTAAGAAGATTATTATTATTTTTAATCTACTAATAACAGCTGTTTGGAATGCTTTGTTCTCAATGACAGTTACTTACTGGGACATGTAAAAACAAACTTGTGGAGGTATTACAAAAGTAAGTGCTTTTATTACTGCTGTATTTCATAAATGTTTTAGATGAAAAGCTTGTTTGAACAATGCACTCATTCTCTCTCGTTCAGAGGAAAATTTATACTTCCTCTAATTGGCATCTATTACAAAATAGGAGAATGCCCATTAGGGTTTTTCTGAAGTCATGAAACTGTGTTGTGTTTTGATGCTTATCGTCTACTCATTGGAGTAGAACCTCAGTGTCTCGTAGAGCCTTTCTTTCCCAGATATTTATTTCATCATGGGATAGTCCTTCCTTTAATTGCAGCAATTATGAGCAGAACCTGTATGTTTTTCACCATATCCAAAGCTTATAATACAACAGACTCATAACCGTTCCCTGATCTCAGCCCTAACTCGGTGTTTGCTCTGGTGAGAGACTTCTGTAGCCTTTTGGCAGTTGTACCAAGCCCGTAGGATTTGGTCTGCTATTTTAGCAGAAACGTAGCAAGACACAGCGCAGTTGTATGTGTGGGGGTTAAATTTTCAAGTGAGAAGTTTAGTATGCCCTCTGCTTACTTTCAGCCAGCTTTACGTTCAGGGTTGGCAAGTTATTTTTGGCTGGCAACCCACAAAGCGTCAACCCTTTATGGCAGCCCCGTCTGGGTAGGAAAATATTTGTTAGCTTTTGACACGGTTATTGTCACGGACAGGGAGCTGCCTTCCTTCAAATAGAAACTCCTTGTTAACTGGGATCCAAAAAGAAAGTAGTTCTAGCAATCGTGGTTGTGACTCCAACCTTCTTCAGGCTGGAAGTATGCTCCAAACAAACAGTCCGAGTCCTCCAACATCGCCCAAAGTCAGTGATGCTTGGCGTTGAGGTGGACGTGGGCAGGTGAGTCAAAAGGAGAAAGCCGGGAGAGCTTCCTGCAGGGGAGCTCTCTGCCCAGCAGCGGGTGTGTGCTGCCCTCCTTTTCCGTACGCTGGTTAACCACAACATTTTGAGGCCCACGTTTCAGCTTTTATTGCAGTAAGCTGACCGGGCTTTCCCCTGTGGCGGAGGTATGACTAGATATATTCAAGGCGAAAAATGGACTTGAAGGCTAATCCTTAAAACCAGTGGCATTCTTTGCTCCTTCTCAGAAGGAAGGCACTAATCTGAGGAAGGACCGAAGGAAACGAAGTGCTGTGTTTCGTTTGGTGGCGGGAATAGCTGGCATGTGCCAAGAGCTCTCTTGTCCAAGGTCCAAGATTTCGCCGTGACGCAAGGCAGGAGCTGCACAGCTTGACAGGGAACCAAGGAGTGGGTGTTTGTTCCTCTGCGCTCGGCTGAGGGATTTCACAAGCGGCTGGTGCTGCCTTCAGCTGAGAGAAGGGAGGAAAGGTCGTGCCAGAGCGTCCCTGCAGGTTTAAAAAGGATTTTGCAGTTTGGGCTGCGAGTAAGGGGAGCTTAAGCATTGAGCTGGGTGATAGAGGGCCACACTGCCTATGCAGAAGACTTCACTCGCATCCATCTTCCTAGACACAGCTGGAGTTCCCCTTCCCTGCAGCTCACATCAGTGTGAACAGGAGCGTAATAGTCTGTAATTTCAAGGCATTTTCCTCCCCAAATACAAAACCCAGCGTATGCTGCAATTAAAGCAAATTGCAGTCTGAGGGCAGCGAGAAACCTGTGCTATTTTTTCCTGGGCGGTTCACAGCCATCTTGGCGTTAGCAGACTCCTGCAAAGCAACCAAAGCATTGTCGACCTACTGTACACACAGATCCAAAGCAGCAGCCTGCGGTCCCGAGGGGAACACAGCTTCAATTCCTGCCTCCCACGGGTGCCGGAGCAGCCGAGAGCATCTCCAGTGTGAGCGCCGTGCGTGGAGAGCTGCAGTTTGTAATTAAAGTTCCCTTACTTGGCCAGCATTTTGCATTAATGTTTGGCAGCTGCAAGCCTGTAGGCTTTTTTTCCCCCCTCCTTGTGGATGTCAGAGCAATTAAGGGGGCAAGGTGTGTGACAAGAATCTGAACAAATGGTGTTTTAGAAGAGTGAGGCTAGATGCTGACACCCAGGAGCCCGACGTGTGCTCTGCGGGCCAGGATTGCTCCTCTGGTAAAATGCTGTTGAGCTCTGCCTGAATTCTGCTTCACTAAACATCACAGGCTTTACCCGAAGGTGCAAGACAGCAAAAATGTGTGGCCCTGCTTGGATTTTGCTCTGACATGAGCACGGTTTGCACTCGAGCCTGTGAGATGGGCAGTTTCCTCCTTTTTTGTGGAGCCCAAGGTTATTATCACGTACATGGACTTTATGGGCTTATAATTTTCATGAGCTGAATTAGCCCTGACTTGCAGAGCGTTTGGAACTGCAAGTCCTTGTTTCCAAGGAAAAGCAGAGCTTCCTCTTTGAAGATAGCTGTGGGGAAGAAGTGCTTTTGCTTTGGTCTTTTTTTTTTTTTTTTTTTTTTTTGCAGTGAAGTCCCTAGCTTTAAAGGGTATGCACCTCCCGGTAGCATTTCTAAAAGAGATACCCACAAACAGCCTGATGGGGAACAAATCTGAAAAGGCAGCTTTTTATTTTTTTCTAGCACAAACCCCACCACTGCTATTAATTGCATTAGTCGTGTTCAAATTCTGTTGTACCCCAGAGAAATTGTTTCCCTTTATGTTGTCCTTGTAGGAGAGGCTACAAGCTCTGACACAATATAAACAATAAGAGGTAGAAGAATTTGTGCTGGAGGAGGCAGGGGGGAGGGAAAAAAACATCATGTCATGGTTAACAGATGTCTTCCTGGCTGACACTGCTAAAACAGGAATTCTTGCAGATTCTGAAATCTCTCCAGAATAGGAACTTCCACCAGCTACCAGGCAGAGCAGTGACTTCCTTGCTAGTGTTTCACGTCAGCCAGCGTGCAGCCAGCATCCTCACTGCCTCCCTGCATTCCTGCAAGCAGAAGCAAACAGGAGGAGAAAACCCCCTCTGCGGCACGCGTGAGGATGACCCCCACAGCTCTGGGTTTTGTTGGTAATACAAAGACACAGGAGCATGTTCAGCTGGCTGCTGCCCGCTGCCAAAACTTGCAGAAAAGGAAGAAAAGCCTCAGATCGGTAGCATCTCGACTTTGTGTGATAACATCCCTGCAATATCCATCTATCTATGCCCAAGGGATACCCTTGGAAATTGGGTTTGGGTCCTTAACGACAGTTTCAGCGCATTGGCTTCATTATATCAAAACAAATCGACATCTACACGCTGCTAATAAGAAAAGCATCTTGCGGGGGGCTGCAGGGCTCTCACTGCCCATCAGCCCGCGTTTGCCAGGCGCAGCACCCGTGTCAGGCACAGCCGAGCTGCGTTATTAAATATGAGTCTTCCAGCGGGATTTTAAAATTAGAACTGCTCGCTGCTCCATCCGTGCAGGCTAACAAAAGCCCTGCATGATGATCGAGCACATTTGCCTTCTCGCTCCCCCCTTACTGTCTTTCACAAGGAGCACCAAGGTCACAAGTGCTCCACTACAGCAAGCGCCCTTTGATGTCGTCACTGCAGGCTTCAAGCCGCTTCCGGGGTTTTAAATTAAGCAGCATCTCCAGATTGCTTTCTTATCAGCTGCTGGCCTCGTACCCAAAAGTCTCAGGGAGCCGAGGAGCACAGCGGTGGTATATATTCATATTTAAAGCCAGGGCTGTATGGATTGGATGCTATACTTGGCTGAGGCTGCAGTAAATACGTAGTTTGAAGCAATGACACACTGTATTAATTGGGGATGCTTTCAGGGTGTTAACTGTGTAAAAACAAACTGGCATCACTCCACGTACCTTCATTCAAAGGGGCAGCTTTGAGGCGATTTGCTTTGTGGAATGCTAAATATTTCAGGTTAAGTCCCTTGGATGTCAATTACATCTTCTCAGACGGAGATGGAGGCATCCAAGGCTAGGTCATCTTTTACTGGTAAGGTGCCAAAGCAGGGTTTGTTTTCAGCAATATTTCATCTTGCCAGTCTTTCCAACCATTCCAGGCATCCTGCCTCCTCCTGTATGTAGGAAACCATATATGCAGCTTTCCTATGAGAAAGCAGCTGCTCGAAAATGCGTGTGAATAACACGCGAGCCTAACCTCCAAGTTCAAAACTGCCAGCCACGCAGAAAGCGTGCAGAGCGCAGGCTGCAGCCCGAGCATTCACCACGTCAGCCAGGCGTCCGTCAGCTACCATATATCAAAGCTTTCATTTGTCTTGTGCAGCCTCCATCGCTGAACGAAAACACACATTTGCAGATCTGTGTACAGACGACACGGGCAGAGCTCGCAGAGGAGCTTTTCTGAGTTCTGCAGTGAGACGTGTTCTGTGCAAATCAGCTGCGAGAAACAAGACAGACGGGGCTGGATGACAGGAGCTCCAAACACTGGAGATTAGAGTGTTGGAGAGATGGTCGGGCTCTTCCCAGTGCCTTGCTGACAGCCCTGGAAGTGCAAACTGCCTGCCTTCTAGGGAACAACGCTGTATGTAATTGGGTATATTTGGATGGAAAAACGCCGTGCTCCCTTTTAGGGGATTATTTAAAACGCCCTCCTAGAATTTGGAGCATCGGTGTTGAATGAGGTAAGGCAATACCAGAACGATTCCAGACAGACAAAGCTCTGCTTACAGGGATGTCTTTTCCTTGACACTAACTCACAGACAGCCCAAGAGAAATAAAATTTGCCTAAGCAGAGGAAGAGTAAACGCTGAGCAGCAGAGAAGGTGGCAAAACGATGACTCTGGGGTCACTGAGCACTCCCGTTTCAGCAGGACGATCCCAGCTGGTCCTCGTGGGGCACCCTGGCCTTGCTTTTGGCCTCGCACATGGGCTGGGGTTTCCACCAGCCCGTTCTCTTTCCCTCTCCACGGGAAAGGGAGCAGCAGAAGGTCGGTGCTGAGCCGCTCGTGGGGTGCAGGAGGGCAGCTCCAGCAGGAAAGGACGGACAGAGGGTGCTTGGGCATCTCCTTAGCTTCACAGGTATGCAGCATGGCAGCAAGAGGGCTGCCCCTCTGGTGTGCAGAGCCCCAAATACAGTTCTCCTACAGGCACCAGCTGAGAAAGGGGCATCCCGCTGCTCAGGGGTAAGTCAGGATTCTGCAGCAGCTGCCAAAAAAAAAAATCAGGGGAAAAAAGACGAAAAAAGAAGTTGCACAATTCCTTTTCTCGAGAATAAGGGCAGTGAGTTGAGCTCTCCAGCATGGCACTGACAAGACGAGACAGCTGCCTGAGAGCCAGTGTGTTCAAACATGCTGCTGTTATCCTGTTACATGAATCAAAAACAGCACACACCAGCTTTCATCTGGATTTCATTATTGTGATTTATATCGCAGAGACTGCTGTCTAGCAGGAAGCAGCAGCATTCGGAGTTGGAGGAGGGGGGGGAGATCCTTATCGCCAGGACAAAATTGACAAATCTCTGCGGTTAAAAATAGCTGTACCTCGTTATCATTTTCAGTTTTAAGCCGCCTGCTTATTCTCAAGACTCTGAATGCTTTGCTTTAAATAAATTAAAAAAAAAAAAAGAGGGGAACATCTTCTAAAAAGGTTTGAGCTGAATCCTGGCAGATCTCCTCGGCTTAGCCAGAGGAGTCCCAGGTAAAACCAAAGATCCCTGCAGAGCAGCAGGTGGGGCACCCAGGGGGCTGCAGCAGGAGCCCAGGGCTCACCCAGCCACTCTGGAGCCACTCGGGTGCATTTGTGCTGGAGGTGAAAGCAACCCAACCCTGCCATCCTACAAAATCAACAGGGGATGCTCGGGTCCTCCCTCCACCAGCAGCTTTCTGCTGCAAAGTGGTTTCTTTCCTGCACACTCAAGTCGTGTTTTTGTTTTTTTTTGTGTGTGTTCTCCTCTGTGCAAGGGGAGATGATTACCTGGAAGGAGCCGAGTGTAGGTCTGCCAAAAAAGAAAAAAAAAAAAGCCACGATGGCTTTGTGGGAGATAATTGAGATAAAACTAAGGAGCTCTGTGGTAACGGAGAGCAAACAGCGGGCAGTTAAGTTTGCGGTGAGGCATGAAATAAGGTATAGTGCAGCCTCGCACGGTAGCACCAAGCCTGCTCTTTCTAGGATTGCCCAAGACAACCAAAAAAAGTGCTGATGTAACTAAAACCATCTTTGGATTTAATAGTGGGTAACCTTTGTGTGCTCAGCAGCTCCTGACTCTGCAAATAAGTGAGGCATGGACCAACGTTTCTGTATTTTGAGTAGCAAATAGCACTGGTCTAAAGCATGCTGTATGTCTTTTTTCAGTAGTCCTCTTACAGCAGTCCTAAAGAGGACCCTTTTTAATACCACAAAGAACTCCCAGCACATCCATTTAAGTGTCAGAAGCACCCAACTTGCTGGTGATCCTCTAGCAAAAAAAAAAAAATCTCAAACCCCCAAAACCAAGGAGCAGGCAAGCAGGAACCAAAATCCCAGGGAAAGGAATGAGAGGAAAAAGAAAGAAATGGGTAAGATTTTCATTCTGCAGCTCTTGAGGTCTGAGCCCTGCAGGCTGCAAGCAGAGCCTCCTGCAAGCAAATGACTTTCTGAGACACCCAGGCAAAGTCTTCTGTGTGCATTCAGCCAAATTCTCCCTTCCTTCTACCTTTAGCAAGACTGAAATCAGGCAGAGCCACACATTCAGGTGAAGCCTTTCCCTTCTGCCTCAGGTACAACTGGCAGCCTTCCTCAATAGGACAGAGCTTTGTAATAAATCTTCCCCTTTACTGAGCAAAATCTGGACTGGCTCTTGACGTGTAACTGTGTCAGAGGGGGCTTGCAAGCATTTATACCTAACAGCAGGCAACTTGACGTGCCCAGCAGAATTACCTGCCAGGGTGTCCCGGGGGGCAGTTTATCTGGACAAACGATGCTGTTCACACTGCAAGGCAGACAGCAGGATAGCCCTTGTTTTAAAACGTGTGTATGACTGTGACGACTCCCTGTGGCTAGTTGGTTTTTTTCCTCTTCATATCGGCATGTTTACCTCAGATACTGTTGTGTGTGTTGCCTTTTGCTCCTCTTCATGCTCATTTCTGACCCAGCCAAGGACGTGATCAGCTACCAAGAGTTGTCCAGTTGCTCTCCGGAGCCATTACACTCCGTCCTCCCCAGCCCTTCCATGTTTTATTATTGAAAAACTTTGGCTGAGGGAAATTCTTCAGGTTGTGACAAGAAGGAGTAGGGATCTCAGTGTAAAGTAAGCAAACTGTGCACTTCTAATACGGTCCTAACTCAGTATTTCTGTCCGGTTCATGTGTAAGTTATGACAGCATTGCTATCTTGCACTCTACTGATTTACCCAGGATTTAGGCTAATTACCTATTTTATCACAAATGTATAGCACAGTAGTCAGTAATTTGTACCAGCAGATCCTTTGAGGAGTGTGTTTGAGACTGGCAATATGCTGCAGAACCACACACAAAATCTGGTCATCACGTTATTGTGTTGACTTGTTTTGGCATAACAAGGATTGTCAGCTAGGTTTTATCCGCCCACATTTGGCATAAACTCCTTTGCAGCAGTGTTTGGAAGTAGTGAGGTATGTGTTGTTTGGGGTTTGTGCTCAGCACTCATCTCAGATTTCAGGTCGCTTGTTCTGACGGAGCGGTCGCAAACAGATTGTTAACTTACTTCAGGCTTATTTTTCCCCTCTCTGAAATCATCAGGCATTCGTTTGGTATTCCTTGCTTTCGGGGACTGAGTGATCTGGTTTGTTACACACTAAAAGAATGATTTTCTCTTGGCCTTGTGTTACAGACCACAGTCATAGACTACGTGAAGCCATCAGATCTGAAGAAGGACATGAACGAGACCTTTAAGGAGAAGTTCCCTCACATCAAGTTAACCCTCAGTAAAATAAGAAGGTACGCTGCAAAGCTTGCTATGGCAGCCACGTGGTACAGCTGTCTCAGGGCCATCACTGTTGTACGTGAAGAGACTCACAGCACTGACTGACCTTCCAGGAGCAGAGGTGCAGAATAAGTCAGATGGTTGCTTTGATTAGTGGGCTGAGTGAACGAGATAGGTGAAGGTACAAACGTGTACCACTGAGGTGTCAAACTCAGCATCTGAGAGGATATGAGCTGGGCTTGCACTATACTATCAGATCCACAAAAGTAACATTAAAAAAAAGAATCTTGAGTATATGCACTTAGTTTAAAAAGAGCCTGAGGAAGGAGGAATGTTGATTGGTTCAGAGAGCATGGCCAGAAGCAAAACAAGTGATCAGTTTCACAGCGAAGTTTTAATATTTCATCACAGTTTCCAGTGTAGCAGGCTAGACATACTGCTTCACTGAAGTAATGATGATTTCATTTGACTGAAGTGGCCAGGATACTGATTCTCCTTGCTCTGTAACTGGAGAGCTCTGTGCTACGTAGCAAGGTTGGGTTTGACCAACCATAACCAACTGCAAAGCTGCGTATAGATCACAAGCACTCAAATCTGTTGTTACTAAATAATTTGTATGTAGCTTAAGAGTTCTGATGAGATATTTTTATTAAAAGTGTCAAAGCTTTACAGTTACTTTTATACTTTGATGCAACTGCCTATTGGGGAGGGGCAGGAAGGGGAAAGATGAAGTCAAAACATGCAGTTAAACGTGTCCCTGAAACAGAGCCTAGACACCTGCCCAGTAAATTACATTTTTCCTTCTCCTTTCCATTTGACTAAGCAGGAATCTCTGAAATAATGACTCTTATGGTAAAAGGAGAAATGCTTTAACATGCAGTTCACACTTGTCTGGTCTCTTTACTCAGCTTGAAGAGAGAGATGCGCAAGCTTGCTCAAGAAGAATGTGGTTTTGAAGAGCCCACGGTAGCCATGGCCTTTGTCTACTTTGAGAAGCTCGCTCTCAAGGGGAAGCTGAACAAGCAGAATAGAAAGCTTTGTGCTGGAGCCTGTGTTCTTTTAGCAGCCAAAATTGGCAGTGACCTCAGAAAACACGAAGTCAAACATCTTATAGATGTAGGTATCCATACGTTTCCAATGCCCCTTCTACATTAAGCACCAGTGTGTGTTATCCACAAGCCTGCTTATCAGTGGTCATGCTCTCCTCTAGGTTGCCAGCTCTAAAACTAGCTAAACACATTCCTTTATTTTACATTTGTGTGGAAGCAGGAGAGATCAATGTCACAACAGAGGACTAAGAAACTTGTTTGACATGATTGAAGACCCTGCTGTCAGATACTGTGACGTTTGAGATACATCTGACCGCCATTCTGTCAATACAAAAGTTAACTTCCAGGAAATTCATTTTGCTTTTAATTGCATTTTTAAGAGTGTCAGTGAAGACTCTCCTTTGAAACGTAAAGGTACATACTAACTAGAGGAGGCACGTAATAGACTACCAGGTTGTATTTTTTCATCAAGTGAAGCATTTGGTCAAGAGGATGTGGCTTCCATTAGACACTTCATCCCAACTTGTTTTTTGTAAAGGAAGATGTTTGGTCTCTAGCCACTCCATATTAAAGAGTTAAGAGACAGAGGGGTGTGTTATTCCATAGTCCATTTGCAAGAACTGAGATACCAACCTGATTTAATGCTACAGAAAATCAGTGAGGTAGCTGAGTACAACCAACCTCAGTTCAAGAGGCATGGGGCTTGGCTGGGGGCAGAACTGGACTCACGCCCTTCTGCCACAGCCAGAGAACTGGTTTGACAGTCAGTTTGTTAGGATGCCCTTCAAATAACGAGATAAAAATAAACCGAGAAGGAGTTGGAAGATCTGGCCTCATGCTACTGTGAAAGATTGGTCCACCCTTAAGTCACATTGAGCTTTTCATTAGATCCAGTGGGCAGAGATGCAGCAAGCCCAGGAGGTCATAAGAAATTGGGGGGGACAAGTGGGTGGTATTGAGAATATCCCTGAACAGGTGGTTGCCTTCTTCTAGCATCCAAATCCAGTGAAAACAGCAGACCAGATGGGAGGTTAAGTCCATTACAGCAGAAAGTCAACTATGAAACCCATCTCGTCTCCCTTGACGATAGTAATTTTTAGTATATACTCTACTTACAGTCGTTGCAGATGACACCTTTTGCCTCTGAGGTATTACAATCAAATGTACGTAATTGTAGCATAAATAATTGCCCTAACAGGGCCTTGTAACACAGCCTAATGCTGAAAAGAAAATCCTCGAATGGGTGAAATGACAAGAACAGCACATCTGGCTGAACTTGGTAAACAGCCTCCCCAGTAAGAAGCGGGTGCATCTGATTCATCCCAGTAGTTCATCACCTGCTGATCAGTAAGGGAAGGGGGAATACGAAGCAACATGAGACTGTGTGGTCATGAGCTGCTGCTCAGCACGTTTAGGTCAGCTAAAAGTCTTGCTGAACAGTGTGGTGGTAAGGATCAACTCTCAGAAGCAGAAGCAGAAATCCTCAACTATCATTTTCAAAATCTAGAGCCTTGCAAGCCCAGCAAGGCAGATGCTTAACAACAGCAGCACATGCTTATTTCAATGTTTTTAATAATGTCATTTGTAAGCAAGTACTAGGAAGTCAAATCCTCATTCACAAAAGTCTTTTTTTTTTCCTGTTGCAGAAACTGGAAGAGAAGTTTCGGCTGAACAGGCGAGAGCTGATCGCCTTCGAATTCCCAGTGCTGGTGGCCTTGGAGTTTGCTCTCCACCTTCCTGAGCACGAAGTGATGCCACACTACAGACGCTTGATCCAGAGCTCCTAGCACTGGCTGCCCTCCTGGGAAGGGGCTCTGGACTGTTCCCACTCGGCTCTCTTGAGCTGCAGTTACTACTGGAAATGCAAAATCAGACTCCTAACACTTCACTCTCTCCCTTTCCAAACCAGTTTTTCCAGCGACTGATAGGAGACACTGTGTTGACGTAAGACTCTCAGCTTTGACAAATTGACGTGTCGTTACTTTCTCAGAGCAGGTAGGGACTGAGATGTTGGTACACGGTGAACGTGCTGAAACTGGGTGGCAACTGACCCTGCCTGCGGGGACTACAGACATAAAAGTTACCTGTCATCAGTCAGACAGAGATACGAAGGGCGTCCTTCATTACCACCCCTCCCTCAATCACACAAACCCCGAAAGCCCACGTGAGTGCATTCTCATAGCGCTTTTTCTACAGACCTGCTGCAACTTACAAAAGGACTCCCTGACGTTGTGAAAAAGCTTTTCAAAGAGGATATCTTCACTGTGTCAAAAAAAAAAAAAAGAATGTGCCAATCTATTTTTGTATCAGCAATTGAAAGTGCACTTTTTCCTGTGGGGTGTTTGTGTGTGTATCCATGTGTGTGTGCGTGCGTGCCACTGGCCTGATCTCGGTGCAGGTGGTTGGCTCAGCGTGGATCAGTTACTGATGGCGAAGATCAAGGCGACCTTCCGTGTTTACTTCTTGAAAAACATAACTACTGGAAAAGTGGTAAATGGGATCATTTTTGGACATTTTTGTTTTGTTTTGTTTTGGTTTTTATTGTTTTAATTCTCTGATCTTTCCAACATTTTACCTTTGAAAGGATGACACTACTATTACGAGAGAAGGATCAGCAACTGACCATAAGTTTTCAGTCGTGTTTGTGATAAAGACGAAAGCATTAGTATGAGATTTCCATGTCATGTTTTTTAAAAAATATCTTGTGTTAAGCCACATGCATATTTTTAACCTTCGCACTTTTCCCACTGTGGAGATGGTTAGACTTGCACTCTGTAGTGTTGTATTTCTGTGCTCTATGTTAGAGTGCGTAATAAGCACATTTATTGTGCTGTATCTTAAAACAGTGTTTTATTAAAAAAAAAAAAAAAAAAAGTAGGGCTCAGCAGTATAACAGGTGTCTTAAGGCTCCAACAGCAGGGGCATCAGCTGTTCAAGTTTTGGTTTTTAACGAGAATTGACTGTGCAAAACCTAAAAACCCGTGCCCATTCGAGTTAAAGGTCCAGTTCCTTTAGACATTTCAATACTGGAGTTTTACAGGAAAACTTCTTGCAGCTTCCGTGGCTCCGACGGGACACCCAGAAAGCCAGGGGAGCTTCAGCCAAGCTCCCCGATGCCACGTGCACCCCGTGCTCGCGCCGCGCTGACGGACACCGTCCTGTCATTGTTGCGCGGTGGGGTTACGCCTGCCTCCAACCTCCTCTTGTGCAGATTCACTCAGTAACAAGCCTTGCCCTCAACATGCCCCGCACGGATCCAGTGAAGTCAGATGCTTACACTGATGGTATTGAAACAAACAAACAAAAAAATCTCAAGCAGGAGATTTTTAGCTGAAGCCTTACCTCTCTAAGTCTGGGAGTGCTTGCTCAGAGTATGGAAAGGGCTTGTGAGCAGAGCGTAGAGAAGTGGGACATAGCAGAGGATGTAAACACACTAATGCTTACTTTCTTTCGCTTTTACTTTTAACCGGTTTTATTATTTCCTTCAGTTAGGCCAGGAAACATCCAGTTTCTTTACCAGTTTTGACTCCTTTAAATTCTAGTATGAAAAACGCCTGCATATGAATACTCTATAGGATCTGGAAAGGTTGTACGAAACGTGTCAGGACAAACGGGAATTCGCTTGATGCTGTTGCTCTCCCTCCATTTTAAGGGGGAGGGCCACTGGGCTGGCTTACAGTTATTGCTAACACTTGCCTAATTATGATCAGATACATTCCAACAGGATTGGGGGGGGTGGCCAAAGAGAGAAGCGTGCACCTCCCGCCCCGGTGCAACTCCCCAGGCTGCTGCAATCCCTGCGTCGCTCCTGCTCCCTGCTGCCTCCCTCCCCGGCAGCCCCGGAGGAGAAGGGCCCAGAGCCTGCAGTGCTCAGCACCTACAGCTGCCCCTCGGCTGATTCAGCCCCGGGCAGTGGTGTAGCTGGCTGGGCTGCAAAGCAAAACCGTCAGCGGCTCTGCTACGAGGCCCTCCCACCCCTGGCTGCATCCCTCCCCACCAAAATCATGTATATACATTCAAGATTTGCTTCTGATGGCAGAGATCTGTTCCTAAGAGCGACCACTCGAAGCTAAGTGGAAGCTTTACCTTTCTGTAAAGGCTTCCGCGTTTTGCTTTTGAGTCTCGATTTTTTATTTTTTTTTTTATGTTGCTTTATAGTATTGCAGGGAAAAAAAACAAAAAAAAACACAAATTGTGATTGCAAGATACAGACTAAAGAATGACAGTCTTACAGTAGTCTTTAGAGACGCTATTGAATCATGCTGTCACCTCTTTTGTCTTCTGTGCTGCTACCCGACCCTGAGCTACAGTTTACACGGATTTCTGGGAGGAAATCTGCTTGCTGGAGACTTTCTGCTTTTTGGTTTCGTCATTTTGGGGGCGGGAAAGGGTTTGGGAGTGCTGTTGAGTTACAGTTTGAATGTGGAATGAACACTTCAGATGGTGATGATGTTGCACTGTTCACTTAGGGAACGTATATAAAGCCATACGATGCTAGATCTCAAAGCACAAAGCTGGGTCAGTACAATTGTGGTTAGGACAATGGGCAGCATTTGCCCCCCCTTTCTCCCCAACCCTTGGAAAATTCAGGCTGAAGCGACAGAAGAAATCTGTACTAAACAACAACAAAAAAAATTGATTGTTTGCCTTTGTCTTACATGGTAATGAGTGTTGATTTACAGATGATTTTAGGTTCAACTTTCAATAGTGTGGGAAATGATCCATTCCATATCACTTGTTCTGTTTGGAAATTATCTACCATACACTCTACCATGCAGAGTTTTTTTCCTTTTTCTAAAAAAAAAATAAAAAATAATAAAAGTTTTAAAAAAATTTGAAAAGAACACTCTTTTCCACCAGTGACAGTAAGTAAAATTATTCAGCTCTCTCGTCTGTATGTGTCAAGTGGTTTTGGTTTTTGTCTTCCTCTGGGACATCAAGGTACCGAGCAATAAGCCAGCGGCACGACTGCCCAAGGGCGCAGGGCATCTCCTGACATTCATCTCCCTGCGCGTATCCCACTTCCAGGATCTTTCCTCCAGCCCAGATCACCCTCTGATGGCCATGTGCAGAAGCACGAGGCACAAGCCGGCCCCCAAGCATGATGTCTCACGAGGTGAAGTCTCATGACCCTTGTTAATGGGAGAAGTTGGGGTATGCCACTCACGTTTAGCCCAGGTATTACTCAAATGTGTGGCCAGCCCCATACCAGGCGTAGCACAGGCAGCAGGCTGCCAGAACTGCGATTTTGAGCACTGGACCCTGTTACCTGCCACCAGTTTATTCAAGCTGTCCTTGAGCTTCCAGAACAACCCACAAACAGGCAGTGGCTTCTTTGGGATAGCCTGCAGTGTGCTTAAATGAAGTATCTTTATCTAATTGCTTCAGCCACGCAGCACAGGAGCCCATGGGCTAGCTTCCCTGGAAGGAGCGAGCAGTTTGCTAGGAGAAGATAACACCTTCCCACAGCGCTAGTGGATTTTGGCACCCGGTGCCACATTAAAAACACAGAAACAACATTAAAAAAAAAAAAAAAAAAAGTTAAAAAAAAAATGTAAAAGTTGTTGAGAGAAGCGAGAGACTGAGCAATCACAGCAGCAACGCCAACAGCGCTGCTCGAGACCGAAAGCTGTCCCAGGTTGCGCCTTTGGGGAAGGGGGAGGGAGTGTGGGAGGAGGATCTGGACTGGGTTTGCTCTTCTGGCTGCCATTTTAAACTCCGTAGTACAGAGGAAAGAAGTGAAGGGGAAGGAGAAACTTCAGATGTGTCCTTTCAACGAGGCTTGCACGTAAAGAGGCCTTTCTGAAATCCTGAACCTTGCTCCGGCTGCACGGTGAGTTCCTACAGCCAGAGCAGTGCCTCGGCCTACAGGACTTCTGGTCCTGGTGAGCTCAAAAAGCCTCTCTCCATGCACTATAAACCAAAAAAATGAATAAATAACCTTGTCCAGAACCAGTGGCAAATGTCAGGACCAATATTGAGAGCCACTGGCAGAGAGCAGGGACTGAAGTCTTGGGAAACGGCCTTCAAAGCGAGGCAGGGCAAGGAGGTGCTGCTGACTTGAGTGGAAAAATCTTCCATCCCTTGGAGAGACCTAAATATTGGTGACCACCAGAAGCTAATTCAGCCATCCTCTGAATTCCTCTATCCTGTCACGCAGCCCTTCCCGCCATCCTGCCGAGCATTGCCTTAGGGCAGGGAAGGGCCTGGCCCCTGCTAGGCCGCGCGGACAGCAGCTCCAGGACTTGGCTCCTCAAACCATGAGGAGCCTTTGGATTCAGTCTAACTTGTGACTAGTTGGTAACTTTTTGAAATCCTGTCAGCATTTCACCTAATTGAAAGTGAAACCTTCCCCCATGGGGACTACGGGCTCAGCGGCTCCTCAGCAGCAGAGGATATTCTCGACAACGTTCAGGTAATCGGTTAGACGAGATGCTAAAAGGAGAGCGGAGACACGAGAAGAAAACAGTCCTCTAAAGCAGCAAAACCATGAAATGTGAGAGGAAAGCACCCAAGCGACTCTCTTCCCTCGTGTGGAGAGCTGCCAGTCACACTAAGCTGTCGCCTTTCCCTTGAAGCCCTCGTTGCTGCCAGCTTCTCCATGCCCCTTGCTCTGTGTCTCTCCCATTCCTTTGACCCTCCTACCTTCTTTGGCACGCTCTCCAGATTGCATCGTGGATAAACTGGCAGCAAACGCCCACCCAGAGGATCAGTAAACAGCACGCAGAGATTATTCAGAGTTAAAAGAAAAGCCTCCGAGCCCAGTGAAGTGTTGCCTTCACTGTCATCGGTGGGTGCTGCTATCAAGGGAGAAGCTGGGCAAGCCAGGCCTTCAGATCTACTGACATTAGGCTTAAACGCACTCATTTTTAATTCACTTGCATCCCTGAGACAGCCTTTGTACTCCATAACCTACTCGCCCTTCCATCCCACCACACACAGCCAAGAATCACGAGTTTACCTGCTCCCCACTGCTTCCCAGAGGGTTTTCGTTTGGGGTTGACTGGGAGAGAGTGCGGGTGAAGAGGCAGAAGGGGAGAAAACGCAGCCTGGTTTATTTACAAGTCACTGACAAGTCCCGTGTGATCACAGAGGGGTTTACCAGGAACGGATCCTGCTCGTTGGTTCAGGAGATTCTCAGCGTTGTCTCGAAGAAGCAGCTGCTTGGGATGGGGAGAGGAGATAAAGCACCGAGAACAGATGTAGGAAAACTGCAGGGCTGAGTGGGTCTGAAACAGCTCGAGGGAGGAAGGAATGGGTCACAAAGTTACAAATCTGCAGAAAACAATGGGAGTCTGTGGTTTCTGTTGATATTTTCTGCTGGCAAACAAAGAAGCCCGACTGTATTTTTAGTTTAAAAAGATTAAAAAAAAAAAAAAAAAAGTCAACAACAACAAAAAATGTAGTAACACAGTATCTACAAAGTTTTAAAAAGCCAGATAAAAGGCTTTTATTTCTAAACTGCTCTCATCCCACTCAGAATGGGATGACAAAAATGACTGAGTTGTTGCCATCCAAGCTGGATTACCCGTCGGGAGCCTGCTGCCTCCTCGTCCTGCCCCGCTTCCCAGCGGGGTCTCTGCAGAGCGATGCCTCCAGCTGAAGGGCTGAACCCCAGGCACCTTCCTCACGTCCCCTCACTTCTGTGGGTGAGAGCACAGCCTGCGAGGCAGTCAGCTCCGTGTGATCAACCTGCCACGAGCAGGGTTTTTCGTTGGGAAAGGTCTGGAGAGAAGGGGTGGAAGGGGCCATCGCCACATTTGTCCACGTGAGCATCCCTAGAGGAAGAGGGAGAACCGAGGCGTGTTGAAAACATGCCCACCTAAAGAAAGGAGAACTGAAACAGTGACTACCCACGCACTATCATCATTCATTTCCTCTTAAAAAAGGCAATCTCCTTCCTAAGAGGGTACTGAAGCACGGCTGAACTACGACCGCCAGCAACCTACCTTCTGCTTTCTAGGCCGAAAGGGAGCTGGTGGTACAGACCTCCAGCTCTATGCCCTGACCTCCCGTGATGCAGCCCACAAACTAACTGCTCCGTAGCTCTTTGTAGACCACAAGCATCTTAAAGAACCATTAAAGCACTCATTTCAGATGGACAAAGTCCAGCACATTTCTAAACATCAGTAGTTTTTTTTTGCAACCTCTCTTCTGGTGTGAGCAGTTTTCTAGCCAAAACTAGACCAATTCAAGCAAAAGCAAGCCATTTAAATATACATCTTTCAGATGCACATCATTGAAGAGCTGCATCCAGAGGGCTTCTGAGAGCTCAATATTTAAGGCCTTCTCCTGGAGGAGCATCCTCCCAGCCATCCTGAAACACCTTTCTCTGGTGAGGAGCGCAGACTGGAAGCCAACTAGGAGCTGGCGTATTTCTGTGGGTAAAGATTACAATTCCCACAAAGACGAGACCAGGACTGTAAGGTGCTCTTTTTTTTAATTTTTTCCTTTTGGTTCACCTTGTCTTATTTGAATAAACCCATGGATAAGCAGGTAGATGTTGGTGCGGTGCAGGGAGCTGGGGCTGGCTGACTCCTTCGTACGCGGCATCCGGAGCTGCAGTCCCCACCCTCTGCCTGATTTATTTTAAAAGCCTGCTGCGTCCATTAGTGGAAAGTTGGACTCTGTTCAGGCTGCGATGGTGTCCATGGACAGGAAAATGGAAAGTTTCAGATTAAAGCTGCGGGAGGCCAGGAAGAAAAATATCTGGTGAATTTAATCGATGGCGGCAACGCGATTATTGTGGACGAATGTTAAAGAAATGGCAGTCTGTGACCCAGAGCAGATCCTTAGCTGGAAAGATAAAGGAGGGCAGCATGAAAGCCTGCAAGGCCACAAGGATGAGAAGCTGAAATGTTCCTTACCAGCGGGAAGGTCAGGCACTTTGCTGAGCTAATCTTTTGAAGGTGTAGGAGAGGCCAGCTCTCACTGTGTCATTCCGTTCGCTAACCATCCAAGTTATTCTCCCTCTCCTTAATTTCTTGAAGATCTGAGACATACCTGATGACACACAGGCATCCCCACTGCTTTTGTTCTCAGCAGAAGGTGGCAGGAGTCCCAGCGATATCATCCTGTGGTCTCATTGAACTAAACAGCTGAGCAGAGGGAAGAAGTCGTAGCAGCAACCCGTGCTGAAGGCCTTGCAGACACTGGGGGAGCCCATCGAGGCACCTGGGTGCCCTGGAAACCCCGGGGCTGCATCCAGAAAATCAGCAAATGGACTTCTCAAAGTGCAAATGATCTCAGATCCTACCAAGGGGATCTTTAATGGGGAAAAAAAGGTGAATAAACAGCTGGCAAAGAAGGCAGAATTCCTGCTCTTAAAGCAACTGATTGATTTTGTATTATCCTCATATATTTCTTTTTCCAGTTAACTGGGTAGCAATGAGCCAGAAAATTTAAAAAAATATTTATTTTTAGTGTAACTGTAACTATATTGATTTACATGAGGCTACCATAGGAAATAGGAAGAGAGGAAACCAGTATGAAGGAAAGGGAAAAGGGAAAAACACCCCCAAACTCCAAAACTTTAGAGAATGTTACCACTGAAATCCCATGCATGCCATGGGCTCACTCTACTGTTTGTCTTTAAACCATCACCTGGAAAATGACGTCAGAATCCTATAGCAGGGGCGTGCTTTTGGAGCGGTCAGAAATATTTCGGAGTACTTTGGACCCTGCTATTGAGGTGAGACAGCCACACTGCCAGCTCACGAAAGAAATCATCGTGAAGAGATTTCACAAAGTCTCTCGGGGAAGGAGACCAACAGAAAAGACACCAGAGGCTCTTTGAGAGTGCATTTCCTTCTCTTTTTTTCCCCTAAAAGCCATAAACCTT